CTGATGGGAATGAAACAGGAGCTGGGAGCGTTGGGTGCAGGTGCACGGTGTCACCAACCAGCAGGATTACACCAGAAGTTGTACCTGTGGGGTTGTTCAGGTTCCATCACCTCACACTAACCAAGAAACTTCTGGTAGGCTTTTTATGTTTCAGAGGTGACCCAAAGCACACGAATGAGAGCCTGTATATCACTAGTATCACTTTCTTTGGCCCAAATGGTATCTATCTGGCTCGGGGTAGCGTGAGCAGAGATTCATTCATTGTTTCCCTTCCAGGGGATTTCTGTCATATTCTGCACAGATATATGTAAAACAATATTTAAAATTTTTGAAGGGCTATGACTTTGCTATACTGATGGGAATAATACACTCTATCGGGCAATTTTTAGCCAGGCCCTAGGAACTTAGAACTATCTGGCCATCGGGGCGAGGATAAAAGTTGTTTTTTTTTTTTTTTTTTTTTTGCATTCAGTGAAATAAATAGCATGATGTGGATTGTTTCCTGTAGAGTTGCAGAAGAAAGCCTTATAAGATTCCTCTTCCCTGCTTGCTGTGTATGGACCAGGTATCAGTTTCTATGTGTTGATCTGGCAAGTTCCTGATCTGTAAAATGGGTAGATTCCGGTTTGGGTCTGATTGATATTTGCTGGTTGTAACAAGGGGTTCTGCTGTATAGACATGTTTATAAATGAAATTATGGTCCCTCTTGATATGCTCTTGCAACTTTGGAGCCACCTATGATTTGACTTTAATTTACCAGTTAGGTGCTAGAGAAGGGAACTATCTGCTATGGTGTGTAGTGGGAGCAGTTAAAGAAGTTTACTGTTAACTGGAGCCAAGGCAGGGTCTTAACCACGTAACGAGAAATGCCGTAAGGGAATATAATTAGCCATGACCTAAGGTCCTTTTAGAGCTACTGACTTCATGTTTCCAGCTTCCCACTGGCTCCTGCGCTGCTTTTTTTCAAACGCCCAGGAAGCACCTCGTGTTCCTCTCCGGGGTTTAAAAGGCAGGGAGTAAATGCCAGGCGTGGCAGGGTGACAACATGTTGGCACGGGTGACAGAATGTCACACCCGCTGGGGTGACCCTTCCCTCACGTCGGGATACACATCCCTGCCCTCACTGCTCGTGCCTCAGCCTCCCTGGTGGGGTGGTGGCCCGGGGGTCCTCTTGTCCCAAGAGGCTGTTGCCCCAGTGACAAACGAGGCAGTGGGATCTGTTGGTTTTTTAGGGACACTCTGGTCACGTTACCTATTTATCTATAACATGGCACAGCTCTGCAACAAACCTCATTTCATGTGGAATTGTCTCAATCTGCATACTATGTCTTAGCTTTAAAAGACAACCCTAACAGCAATCAAGATGTATGCTACGTTATCTGGACATGAGAAAGGGAAATTGGTTTGATGTATCATTTTCCATAAAAAAATAATCCGTGAATATCTGAGGCTTTGAATTGATTTGTTCTGGTCTCTTCCTAGAGATGAAGCTGGCTGACCCCTGATTCCCCAGGTGTCTTTTCCTCTGGTGTTAGGGACAAAGGACCGCCTTGTCCCATGGGCTGCCCTACACTAATGTATAGGGGAGTATGCAAGGATTGTACGAGGAAGCTCAAAAAATCCTTCAGGCTGTTCCTTAAATAGCGTAGTTAGTTAGGCTGTCAGCAGACTTAGCCAATTTGAATATATTTCATTTACCTGTAATCCGTGAATATCTGAGGCTTTGAATTGATTTGTTCTGGTCTCTTCCTAGAGATGAAGCTGGCTGACCCCTGATTCCCCAGGTGTCTTTTCCTCTGGTGTTAGGGACAAAGGACCGCCTTGTCCCATGGGCTGCCCTACACTAATGTATAGGGGAGTATGCAAGGATTGTACGAGGAAGCTCAAAAAATCCTTCAGGCTGTTCCTTAAATAGCGTAGTTAGTTAGGCTGTCAGCAGACTTAGCCAATTTGAATATATTTCATTTACCTGGATATACCTTTAATATTTCTCTACTTTTTTACTAAAGCATTAATGTTATTTTTTTTCTGAAGTGTCAATAACTTGCTATTCTTATTACAATGATTTATCTTTTCCCTTTTATACATCGCTTTTGCAATTAGCAAAGAGGATTCTATTTATTTCACCCCACAACCACTCAGACCCTTAGCAATCCTGATATTTTTTTTATATTAGTAAGACTACACCAACCTGTTGATGTTGTTAGGCTGGTTTTTATAGAAACACACTATTAAAGCACAGTATTGCCTACTTCTTACAGGTGTATGGCTCAAAGTGCTTCAGTGCTGTCCCAGACCCTGCACTGGGTCACCCAGCAAAGAGAGAGGACAAACCTACAATGTTTGATTGTGATGTGGTTTTAATAATACTGGATGAGGGGTAAAGTGAAAGAGGGGAGATTTAGATGAGATATGAGGAAGAAATTCTTTGCTGTGAGGGTGGTGAGACCCTGGCCCAGGTTGCCCAGAGAAGCTGTGGCTGCCCCATCCCTGGAGGTGTCCAAGGCCAGGCTGGATGGGGCTTGGAGCAACCTGGTCTGGTGGGAGGTGTCCCTGTCCAGGGCAGGGGGGACTCGATGATCTTTAAGGTCCCTTCCAACCCAAACCATTCATGGTTATAGGGCTGTAAGAAGAGCTGTGTGTGGCAGGTTTAAGGTAACTTAGGACTGTAAAGGACACACTGACCTCAGTGATCATAGAGCTGACTCAATTAGGTCTTGTCCAAATGGAAAGCTCTCCCAGCACCAACCATATTGATACTGACGAAAGGGCTGTAAGAAGAGCTGTGTGTGGTGGGTTTAAGGTAACTTAGGACTGTAAAGGACACATGGACCTCAGTGATCATAGAGCTGACTCAATTAGGTCTTGTCAAAGCTCTCCCAGCACTAACCATATTGATACTGATGGTTAAGGTCCCTTCCAACCCAAACCATTCATGGTTATAGGGCTGTAAGAAGAGCTGTGTGTGGCAGGTTTAAGGTAACTTAGGACTGTAAAGGACACACTGACCTCAGTGAGCCCAGAGAAGCTGTGGCTGCCCCATCCCTGGAGGTGTCCAAGGCCAGGCTGGATGGGGCTTGGAGCAACCTGGTCTGGTGGGAGGTGTCCCTGCCCAGGGCAGGGGGGACTCGATGATCTTTAAGGTCCCTTCCAACCCAAACCATTCATGGTTATAGGGCTGTAAGAAGAGCTGTGTGTGGTGGGTTTAAGGTAACTTAGGACTGTAAAGGACACATGGACCTCAGTGATCATAGAGCTGACTCAATTAGGTCTTGTCAAAGCTCTCCCAGCACTAACCATATTGATACTGATGGGGAGTTTATCATCTGCTGGAGCTTTAACAGCAGGCCCTGCTCTGAAAATGTTACCTTTGCTTACAGGAAGGTTAAGCTACAGACTTGTGTATTTAGTTAGGGGTGTCAGTGATTTTGTGTTTTCCAGACATTAAAGACATTAGTATGGGATAATTCACTTTTGCAGGCAGAGTCCCAAGAAGCTACAGACTTGTGTATTTAGTTAGGGGTGTCGGTGATCTTGTATTTTCCAGACATTAAAGACATCAGTATAGGATAATTGTAAGATGTTCCCCCAAACCTGTACTTTCCTTAAATCTTGCTTCTATGTTGAAACTTTACAGAGGAGTTCTTGTTTTGCTCTTGTTTGAAGGATTAAAAGTTTTACCTTTGTGCTTCTGGAGTGAAGGGCTCTGGCAACAGAAAAATCATCTCAGATTAGCACAGTCCACGCAGAAAGTCCATAACGTTGCTTTTGCCTTCAAGTGTTTTAGGGAAAAGAACCAACTGAGAGCTGAAGGACAATGCTAGTTACCCATATATATAACCCCTATATGCTTGGTGGTGAGGAAAAAAAGTCTCTGTACGAGGCAAAACTATTTGCATAGAGGCAATATGTATGTTTTAGAAATGATGGGGGAAACAGTTGTGTACTCCAAGCAAAATTTATTAGAAGTCTATTCAAGAAAAAAAAACACAGAGACCTTTTGCTTGTAGGAATTCAAAGTCAGTTACCTGAAAGCCAGGTATGAAAAACCTGTATTTTTTTCTAAAATCAGATACAGAGTAGAAACAGTACTTTTTAAATATCACAGGCAACAGATATTTAAGTCTTCAATCATAAATGGCATCAAAGATAGGTAATAATCTCACAGCAAAGCTGCATGCAGATCTAGTTTAAAATTGAAAGCCTTTGAATATAAAGCTTTTGCCAGGAAATCTGCAATAATAAAGGTATGCTGCACAAAGATGTTTCTTTACCTTTGTCTTAATGACATTTCTCAGTAATAAAGACATATGTACATTTAGATTTGGCTGGTAAACCATATTTTAATTAATAAAATTTTGCATAAAATGCTATCTTACAGAATTGCACTATCCAGATGTGCTTATGGTAAATAGAGCAAGAAAAGAGAGATGCATTGAAATGTTCTGTATGTGAAGAGGGCAAAGATCAAATAAGGAACTTAATTTTTCTTAAAATCAACAACCAAATGGCTCTGTACAAAAAAGCAAACATATGTACAAAATGCTACAGAGACTACATACATTTTGATAATTTCAATCCTTTACCCTTGAGAAATGCAGTAGAAGCTTTTGCCATCTATAAGGTGCTGAAGAAACCAAATCGGAATTTTTATTTTTTATAAAGCCATAGTCATTATCATCCTGTGCCTTAATTTCATTTGCTAGTTGCGCTTACCTTTGCTTATGGAAAACGTATGTTTTCAAATACTTTTTTCATTCAGGAAAAAAAAAAAAGAAAAACCCACCTCTAAAATGTATCAGTTTTAATACTTGTGACTTTCCTTTTGTGTACTAAATTCCTAAAAAGAAGGTGTAACTCAGGTTTTGTTAACATACATATGTGTATATATATAGTGAAGTAAATCAGTACATGATACTCGTGAATATTTATTATCATCCTGTGCCTTAATTTCATTTGCTAGTTGCGCTTACCTTTGCTTATGGAAAACGTATGTTTTCAAATACTTTTTTCATTCAGGAAAAAAAAAAAAAGAAAAACCCACCTCTAAAATGTATCAGTTTTAATACTTGTGACTTTCCTTTTGTGTACTAAATTCCTAAAAAGAAGGTGTAACTCAGGTTTTGTTAACATACATATGTGTATATATATAGTGAAGTAAATCAGTACATGATACTTGTGAATATTTTTTTCAGGTGGCTACGTTAGGAAAAAAAACACCCAACCCCAAACAACCAACAACCCTTTGCACTAACACTGTTTACTTCCTGCTGCTTAATATTCCTGACACGTAAAAACACTAACCCCTCAAATTTCATGTTGCTTATTATTACAGCTTTTTGATTACAACCTTTTAACCTCAGACATCAGTAGCAGGTTATTATTGTCTATGCTTATACCGTTGCCTGACCCTTCATTAAATCCTCTTTCCTGAGGTTTTATGCCTTTTGCAGTTCTTGCCTTTTAACAAAAAAAGCTACAACTTTATTAGGGAAAAAAAAAAAAGAAACCAAGGTTTAGCCGATCCCATTGCACCCGTTCAGAACACTTGCAGTTCTTCCATGATTAATGATTTCTTTTTTCACTACGCTCGCTTGAGATTTTACAATCACTGTGCATATGTTACAACGTACAAGTGCAGGCAAAAAAATTCTACATCATAAATTTGTCTTACATTGTAAACCAGTACAATAGGCAAACCTGTGATACGGCAAAGTGAAAGCAACGAATGCTGCCAAGCTAATAAGGACGTGGAAATTCAAACAATATATTTTTTTTTTTTTTAAATAGTAAACAGCAACTTCCCCCTGCGTCACATGCACGCTGAAAAAATCCCATCAGACCTCATGATAGTACCCCAAATGTCCAAACCAAGACCAGTTTCTCCCCTTTCCCACCCCCTCCATGGCAGTTCATCCCTGTACCTGTCATCAGGCTTCTCCTATATCGAGCTTTTTTTTTTCCTTTTTTCCTATATCCTTCATATTTTCCTATGAAAAGAACTTAAAAGCAGGGAGTATTTAAATGTAGCAACGCTTCCTCTTGTCTCAGAAAAGCTTAGTTATTCGCACCGTGGTCGTTGCTGGGACGGACGGTGGGGCGGGTGGTGGGATGAGGATGAGGATGGACTAGGTGGCCTCTACTCGAGACTGCAAGCAAGGGAACGGAAGGCCAGCAGAGCATGTTTTCTAGCAGCTTTATGCAGATGTGTTGCAGAGATGCAGCATAAATAAGTAGAAAACCAAAAAAAAATAATAAAAATTCACAGCCTCTTGACATAGTTTCCAGGGAAAGTACCAAAGAATTTGGTTCTTCTCGAGGTTCCTGAAATTAGAAGCAATAGATGAAAGATGGGCATAACAACAGGAAATCACTATGCAAGCATGGCCTTTAAATATTCATGTTTAATATTGCACAAACAGAAATATCTACACTTCTTTATAATATAACTTCAGAAAGGTATTTTGAATTTCGTTTGTGAGTTTTAACGAATTATAACTGGAGGAAGGAAAAACCAAATAAAGAGGCATATTTGATTACGTTGGTTTAGACTTGATTCAATTTCTGGGCTAAAATTTTGACTTGGTACATAGAAATAATTTAATTTCAACAGCATCAAGTCTATTTAAAACAATCTGAATTTCTGAAATGCTGAGGACGAGATGGTTAAGTTGGCCACTGTGGGCACGAGGGCTTATGGAGTGACTCGGGCACCTTATCTCTGTTTGTTCAGTAGTACTTGGTTCTCACAAGTAGTTGATTCTCTAGATGTGTTCATGAGAGTAAGTTTTATGTGACCTGGGCTTTATGAAGAGAGCAGTAACAGACAGTCCCCTTTGTGTCATTTGTGAGAGGACAACAGTCCTCTACCACAAACTGTTGTCACGGGTCAATTTGTCTCCATCAATTCCAAAAGGCACAAGTGAAAAATCGCTCACTAATTTCTGTGGATTTTGAGTGGGAATTCTCCTGATAAAGCCAGGTTTGGGTTTATTGCACTAAATCCCCCAAATTAATTTGTTCAAAAGCAAAGAGGGCAGCAAAGGTTGGGGAGGGGGGGAATAAAAGAAACCAAATGAAAACGTACCCACAAACCATCCATCATCACACTTTTCCATCACATCAATGACATCTCCCTCTCTGAGCTCCAACTCATCTTCGTTCCTAGGAGTATAGTTATATAGAGCCTGAAACCTTAAATAGGACAAATGACGCATTTTAAAAAGAAGTAAGAGTTCTTTGCACCTTTGCTGAAGTAAAGGAGCTGGGTTTAACGTTAAATAATATATAACACTTCTTGTGAATATAGTGGAAAAGGGTTTATTTTTCCTGCTGGACTTCAGGACTAGGTACTTATTATAGTAAATAAATAAGACTTTTTAGGGGACTCATCAGACATTAAGGACTGGGGACTCCAGCCTGATGGTTCCTCAACCAGTTGCTTTGAACACAGAATTCCAGTATTATTATTTTTATTTGCATTATTTTATAGTTGAGTCACCAAAACAGAGGACTTCTAAAGGGGAGTCTGGTTAACCTTCCCTGCTTAAAAGTGCCCCTGATGTAAATAAATGAATATATTTTTATTTATTTATTATACAGTCATATATTTATGTATTTATTTTTAAAGATATATATATATATATATATAATCTCTCTGAAAGTGAGGGAGAGGCTTGAATCCAAGGATGGGAACTTGGGCAGTGTTCAGACATTGATTTGTGCCTCCTCCCAGGCCAGGGGCTGTGGATTGAAGGATGTGAGGCGGATAAATGGAAAGAGGTGTGAGATTACTAAATTTATTATCTTTTGTTCCTTGTCAGTTTTTAATTGAGTTTCTTGGAATGGAAAGAATGGCACTAAACTGTGAATAGGGGGAAGTGAAGGTGCTGGGGCGGATGCCCACAGGGAGATTGCTGCAAAAGCCCATGAGAAATCAGAATCTGCCTTTTTTTTTTTTTTCACCATCTGTGCCCTGACTGTGTGTAAAGGAGCAGAAACTGTACAAAGGAAATATTTTTAATTTAAAAATATTGGAAAAAAAAAACATAATCACATCATTTTTTCTCTCTGAACAACAGCTCAATGACTTGAAAACCTTAATGCCATTACACTTCCCCCAGTAAAAACAAAATAACTCCCCCTTTGTGTTGGAACTGAATATTTCCATTAGCTCTGTATCATTCAGGCAAAGTTTTTGTGGCTTAAATGAGATGTTGATTTCAGTAAAAAAATTCCCACTCCTGAAAGTCCCATTTGAAAATCCTAACTCCAGACTGGTGCTGTGCTTAGTGTAAGGGTGGTTGTCTTGGATAAACTGTGCTTATTTTTTCATGTTGCTGATTTGGAGAAAAAAGCAGAGACATCATTCCAAGGAAAAACAAGTTATTTTAACCTAATTTCTCGTGACTGGCAGTTGTCTCCCCAAGTCTGAAAAGTCTAATTTTAAATTTTAATCACACTAACAGAATGGAACGGGACCAATTATTTAAGCAATCATCTCTGGTAATTTGTGTTGCAGGAGTAAGACCAATCTGTGCAAAAAATTAAATGGCAATAACATTTTCTGTCATGCTAATCACCATTCCAGGAAAACAGAGCTGTGATGATATTCCAAAACTGATTAAATGCAGCTTCCAAAGTACAGGAGTTGCAGATGTAATGCGTCAGGAATAGGATTCAAGCCAAATAGTTACTCAAATACAGTAACAAGAACTTCTCAATTAGTACTCTTTGTACTTTAAAAATCTACTCTTAGTAATTTCTAGATAATCCATTTTAATAATTCTTTTCTAGTCATTTCATCTCTCTTTGCTACTCTAAGAATTTCTTAAATATATAAATATGCATAATATATAAAAATATTACCATTTACAACACTAACAGAATACATATTCAAGACAAGGAATGGTTGGTTGGCAAATCAAATCTATTTAGATTTTTAATTTTAGGAATAAGTAACTTTAGTCATGAACTGCTTTAACTATATTGAACATAATTAGTTTGATAATTATCGCTTACAAAAAAGAGTTTGATTCCTCAGTAAGCTCAACAATACCCACAGGAACTTGTGGTTTTAGTGAGATTGAACCCTAAATGTCCAATTTTCATTATATATTATCTGTGGCATAGTTATTTGGTAACTTTTTGCCCCTCTCTTCTCTTTTGCCATTTCTTCAACTGACTTAAAAGCTAAAATTTTAAATATTTTTAGATACTAGGCCTTAGTTACATTTAGGGGAATTCATCTACCTGGTCATACTCCAAAGTGCTCTGGTGCTAGAGGAGAAGTGGCTGTGGGTTTCAGGGGTCACTGAAGCAGGACCCGAGGGCAAGACGGGGGGGGGGGGGGCCAAAAAAAAAAAAAAAAAAAAAAAAAGAGTATAGTGTAGCATAACAGTGATTTTCAAAGCCAAAACCCAAGAAAGGCTTAAAGTTTTAGCCACTTTTAAGTTTAGAGTTATGCTAGGGGGGGGGGGGGGCCAAAAAGATAAAAAAGCCCCCAAATTGAAATAGTCCTGCACTGAACTTGCCTTTTAACTGAAATAGCCTTACTTGTTTTATCCCAAGTGCTTACATTGTTTGTGAAAATTTGACTTGAGAATCAAGTCAGTTTTCAAAAAGGCTTTCTTGTATCTAAATTTTAAACTGCATGTATAAATTATGCCCAAAAAGTGTGAGCCTGTGTTCCCGTGATCAACATTATCAAGTTATTTTTTTCCCTCTCTGTTCACATCCAGAACTGTTTCTGAATAATTCATGTCAAGGCAGTAAAGCAGATGAGTTGAATCAATGCTAAATCTTTAACTGGCATTCTGCTGAGATACGAGAGTGGAGAGAATAACAAAAAGCCAAACTGTATTTTTACAAAATGATTACCCCTTTTAAGTAAAAACGCTGGGGAACTGTAAGCTGGCACGTCTGTCTGAGCTGGATACAAATTAAACAACTAAATCTTTGCCCTCTGGGACCTCCTTGGATATCTTCCTACATCATGTGGTTATCTGCAAATTTCCAAAATCTCTCCATAATTGCACTTGGCAGGTTAACAAATGATTTGAGGATGCGCTGGCTGTTGCTTAACGCTTGGGTTCTGGTTGAGTAGACAAGAAATATACTTACGGTTCCCCCCCACCGTGTATGTTTTCATGAGCAAGCACAGGGCGCTGTGGCTGAAATGAAATGATTTGAAATGTGATAAAGATTTATAGGCTGGGGTGCAGCTAGTTGGGTAGGGGCATGAGAGGGAGAGAGTTTCTTAGGGGTTCATATTCTACCTTGCATAAAACACCACCACCTCCCTCCCCTCCAGCTCACAATGAATTCTCAAGAGACACGGCAAGCAGCGGATAATTTTGGCAGGTTTAAAGATCTGATTTTTGGAGGCCGTAACAAAAACTAAACCAAAGCTGTGAACTTTATCAAGGGTCCCTTCTATTTATAGTGGAGCAGAAAGTTGGAACAGACCCCTGCTGCCTCTTTGCTGCGAAACAGAAATAGCGTTAGAAAAACCAGATGCAACTGAGGAACATTATACATTTCTTGGGTGAAGTATATTTTTAGATAAGCAGAAATGAAATCTCCTATGTGTAATGGCAGAATTTAGAATATTCGTAAACAAACAACATACCAATTTACATTACACACACATACACAGAGTACTGCCTTGGCAGGCACAACATGCTAAGCTTAAATGAATTCAGTTTCATCCCCAGGGGGAGCACAAAGCCATGCAGGCTGCTGGGTGGCAGAGAGCAGAACGACTTGTCGAAGGGACGCATATCATTGTGTGAAAATAACAATTAACGCTTTTACTTCAGAGGAAAAAAGTAGTTTGTATTTCCAGTGCAAAGCTTTATGAAAGGAACTATTTTCCTTCTTAATGAAGCATTACCCAGCGCTAAGCTGGACACAATGGAAATGATAAATATTAACCTCCTACAAAACCATATCCTGGTTAGAAACACGTTGACTTCTGCCCGTTAGAACCTGGCTGGGGGCAGGAACAGCTGCTCGGGAGAGCTCTTGGTGTGAGCAGTGATCATGTTCTCTGTTGACTGAGGATGCCCTGCAGTTGTGTTATAGAGACTGGTACCAGTTTGGGAACACTATCTGTGTTGGGAGTGTGGGTATCCAACACAGCTCATGGCACTTTCTTTCATGAATTGAGTAAACTGCAACCTGACCCCGAAGCCACGGGATTTCTCTTGTTGCTCAATGGTTCTGTCTTTCCCAGGTTTGGCTATTTCAGTCCATCTTGCTTCAGTTTATTCTTGACGATGACGCAGTCTTCTATGAGAGAAGGCTGCAGTAAACAACCCGCAGCCTGATGGCATCAATTGAATGTTAAAAAGCATTATGTGTGCTCTGGTGGTTTTTTCTTTGTGTTTCCCCCCCCCCTTCCCAGCATCTCCAGATGAAATTGAAGTAGTTAAATTTCTTTTCATTGTGTTTGCCCGTGTACATGCAGAAAATATTGTGAACATTTTCCACTTCATTTTTACAGTCCATAGAGTATAATTTCAAAAAAGGTGCCTAGAGATGCAGGCAGGTAGATTACAGAACTGTTACTCATACTAATGACAGCTAAGTGGCAAAGAAGTTTTTAGAATCAAAAAAATATTTGTTTACGCTCTTTGTGTCTCCTCTCCCTCATTTAACTCTTCTCTGCTGGCGTACAAGAGTGATGGGTAACTTTTACTGAAGAATCCAGCAATACTGATTGAAAATTAGACATTTCAGTTCTCAGTAAAGCCCTTTCAACAGCTGGGTTGTCAGGCGAGAAGAGAATGTTCCACTGGGCAGTTTGCTTGGTATTTGGATGGGGATCTGATCTTACTCTCTGCTAATCTTTCAACAGGTCCATAACTGAGGTGAAGGCCAAAGATAGTCCAAGATGCAAGAGAACTCAACTGAGGTTAAGGACTTTTCTTGCAAGCAATAAATGATTTGGTGCTTTGAACACACACCAAGCCAGGAAAAAAGCAGGTAGGTCAGTGTTATCTTCTTTTTCTGCGTATGCCTCAATGCTTTAAAACGTTTTATTGCTGGTTAATTACTGTAGAAATAGATGACAGAAAACTGAGGTGAGGGAAGATTTTCAATTCTGTTATTGCTACAGGGAAAACTTTGATGGAATTAGAATCTGGGAAAACTGGGGTGAAGTAATCTGTGTCGTGTCTGAACAGGGGGCCCTTAGAGCTCACTCTCTACCCGAATGCATTCCTCAATAGTATCCTGTCTGACACTTTCTCCCTGTTTGCTTTCCCTAAACTCTCATTCCCACATACAGTGGCGTTGGTGAGAATGGGGAATGTTGCAAGGTCTGGCTAATTGTGCTTGAGGGAGATCAGGAAATGCATCATCCTGTGGGTAGCTCCTGGTGATTAGGATTCTCTAGGTTTAGGATTTAGGATTCTCACTCCACTATCCTGTTTCCTGGGAAAAACTGTAGGGCCTAATCCCCAAAAGATTAAAAAGTGTGCAGTCAAGTTGATGGTCCCAGCTGTACACCTGATTTTCAGGCATGATTGAGATGTGCTTGCATGTAATAGTTCTGTATAGTCCTGAGCGGGCCAACCAGGTGTACGATTTGTGCTCTTAAAGCTTCAGAATTAAAGACATAAATGCACTAAACACTGGCCAATACAGTCCTCTCAATGTATTGATTACAAGCCATTCATTTGGAGTAACACACAACATGAAAATAGGGCTTAACCCCCTTTTTTTCTTAATTATGGATTTTATTCCCAGTTGGACTTTCTTAGGGATTGTGTTGATAAGCAAATACAGGAATCCTGGCCTTCCTGTGTTCGAATTATCTCGCTTCAGTAATGAAGCAAGCCCTGCCCTTATACCTGGTAGGCAGAGGGCTGCCAAAAAGCCCAGACTTTGAAGTTACAGAAACCTGTGTATTTTATAGAATTTGAATTCTAATTTAAAAGGGAGGCACCAGAAAGACGATAACCTAAAATCAGCAGTAGGGAAAACAGTTCATCCTGTTACCATTAATCCTAAACTGAAAGTAAAACATAACCCATAAATTCTCATTCTTGTAGAGTTCAGGTTGGTTTTTTTTTTTTTTTTTTCATAATTCAAATAATCTTTTTTGAGTGAAACACATGCAAACTCTAAACAATCTGACTTTCTGGCTAGGTAGAACTGTTGCAGTTCTGTTTCTGTTACACTACAGCTAGGAAGGGAAAGGCTTAAGAGTAAGTACGACAGTCTGGAGTAACAGTGCTTGGATAAAAGGACAGTATTGAGTGAACATGACAGAGCAGCAACAGAATGGTTTAAAAAGATTCAAACCCAAGAATTCAGACTGTATACTTGCAATGTAGTATAAATTTTTGACTCCTAGAAGCTGTAATTTTAATAAACCAGAAGTGCTTTGAAACAGAGGAGTAATTTAGGAAAAAAAAAAAAGGGTAAATATAAAGAACTGTGATCTCCTACATCTTGTAGCACTGGAAATACGATGGGGTACTGCAGAGGTACAACACACTAACGGGTTGATAAAATAAGATTTGGCACACACAGACCTGTTGGCTTTACTCAGACATGGCACAGGAGCACAACAGGAAGAAAACATGGCGTACTGATAGTGCTGAGACACTTTGGGAGGGAAAACAAGATACTGAGAGACTGGACACTGGGCTCCTTTATATGTGGAAACGTTTTTGTTGCACACTGGGTGTCCAGTACCGTACCCTGTGTGAGTAGCTGGGACCTCGGAGAGGTGAGCTGCAGGGTCTCTTAGTCATCACTGGGCTACGAGGAGGTTTACCCATAACAAAGAGCTCTCTCTTTAAATTAGCCTAGAAAAACCACAAAAACTGCATCAAGACAGAGTTTAAGAATGAAGCAGGGTGGGATTTTTGTTGCTTCATTTGTACATGCAAACTGGACATGCTTTTTTTGATTAAAAAAAAAAAGCAATTGTGTTACAGGTGCAAATAATGGCACTATTAGTATATGGCATTTTTCTTGTTGGCACTGTACCTTTTTTCCCCAGGGTTTGCTGCTGTGGCAGATGCCCTCACACATTACACTTGAAAGATTAATCATGCACAGTGTTTGCAGTTGAAATAAGAAGGGTTATTGCAAGTGCACCCGCTCAAATAGCTCAGTCAGTAATATAGAAACGCTCAACAACACCGAGCAGAAACATGACCTTAGAAATACCAACAACAAATGTTGGAATTTTTTGCCGTTAAATGGAACATGGGCCTTAAATTTGCATTTAGAAAGCAAGTAAATACTTGAGGGTAAGTACTTCAGTGAAAAATCCTTGTTTTGTCAGAGTATTTGTCAGAATTCAGCTCTTAAGGTGTATGTGTGCAGGAAATGCAAATTTTCAGGGGCAGGGGCAAGTAGGGGGGAATATGAGAGGAGTGGAGAGCTGAGATTGGAAACCTTTTCTTTGGTGTTTGTGACTGTTTGCCAGTAGAACATGGCAGGAGCTGAGAGGGTGAATGATTAAAAAAAAAAAAGATCCTAAGGGAGGGCAAGGAGGCAGGAAACATCAGCATTTCTCCTTGGGAAGAGTTCTTCCTTTGGAGGGCACATCCCTCCCACCAACATGGAGCAAAGTGACACTTCCCACTGATGGTTCCTTGTATTCTACTGCCCAAATCCCTGGTCATGCTTTAAATTTGAGTGACGTTCCAAATATATATATATATATCTATCTATACAAGCACATATGTATGTATGTATGTATTTTTACATCAACAAAAATTGCCGAAGTACCAGTATTTAGTTTCAAGAACTCTGTGAAGAACCTCCCTTCACTTGTGATATTTGAGTCCTAGAAATGTCTCATGTTCTTTCTGCTGTAGCAGTTGAGAGGAGACTGGGACATGGTCAACATGCACAAAGAGAAGAGGATAGGAACTGCCCTTCCTTCTCAAGTCCAGCCTGTAGACTAAGTAGCAAGAAATGATGAGAGCCCACACCTGGCTACTCTTATTTTAGTGCAACTCTCTATTCTAGCAAGGTATTCAGTGTTGACTGCAGAAAAAAGCTTGCTTACCCTTGGGGGGAAATAAATCTTCCTCTCATTTTGGAAATATAGTACAAAAGATCTGTTGTTAGAAGTGTATCTAATAATTTAAACAATTTTTGAACAGATGAGTTTACACTGATCAAATTTATAAAGGGATCTGTTCCCTGGACTTAAAATAATCCAGATTTGAAATGGTTTGAAAATACTCCTCTGTCACAGCTCCTTAGACCTCTCATTCTTCTCAGTCCTCAGGCTCTTGTGTCTGCAAAATGGAGACATCTCCCTCGGTTCCTTAGGGTCTTGCTTCCTGCCATGCCCAGTGAAGAGCACTATGATGCCCAGTGAAGAGCACTACGCTGCCCAGGAGGTTCCCCGGAGCAGATCTTTCAACTCTCAAAACAGGTATTGCCTTGATTTATTTTCAGCTGGGATTAACAGGCTTTGCTCAAAAAAGGGCAAGGAATATCAAGGTCACCTAGAAAGAATTTCAGTGTAGGTGAGGAATTTTCTGAATTTTGTCAATTAGGTTAAGCAAAAAGTAGCCATCAAAGGCACTGCACAACTGATGGGTTAGTCAAAGATGCAGAAATAAATGCAATGCTGTGTTTTACTCCTCCTTTGAGGTGAAACACACTTTAGCCCAGATTCCTGCCCTGGAAAGAACCCTTATGTCTCTTCCCTACTTCAGAAAAAAACGACAGATCTGGTGGACCTTAAGACTTTTTAAAATCTATGATGTCTGGGTTTTCCATGAACACACTTTGCAAGATGTGGTAGATTTTAAAAAAACCAAATAAGAAGTATTTTTTTTGGCCATAGATGTAATGATCATGTTCTCTAGGATAGTTTCTCAAACTTTTTACTTGACTTTTCCTACTTTTCACAAGCAAATGGACTCTCTGAAAGTCAGCACTGGGAATTGACTTTGGGTCTAAACTGGGCTGGGAATTGACTTTGTCTATTTAAAGGAACTTTCCAGATTTGATTTTTCTGCCATGGAACTGCAACGCTGACACAAAGTGTAGTCCTGAGGAGGGAATAACCTTTGTCCCGACCTTGACTAACAGAACTGGGATTTAGAACATGACCCTCTGTGGTGGTGCTTTGCTGTGAGATTTATAACTGTTGTCCAAGGCTGTGCATCAAAATTGAAAACACTTTTAAACTAGAAATGTTGCTTAACTTCTGCCTACGTGAATATGATTCTGTTTCTTTTGATTAAATAAGAGTTACTGATGTCCTACTATGGGCTTGAAATTGAGTTGAAGGCTTTCTGCTTTCCTTGTCACTCCTTAAGCTGTTTCATTCTGTCATAATGGTTATAGTTTCCCCTTGTGTTTCATCAGAAGAAGATTCACCTTAATACTCCCCGTGCTGTGTTATTTGATATTAGTAAAGGAAACAACACATCTGAAAAGATTAAGCTTGGTGTTAGCCTTGCAGTTAGTCAATGTAGGTGAAGATTTGCAACACTCCATGCTCGGGGTGCAGGTACCTTGAGCTGTGGTGAGTCTCTCTCCTGCTGGTGGAGGGGTTTAGGGAGGAGAGGGGGGGAGAGGGAAGCAGCAGAGGGGAGGGGTGTAGGAGCAGAGTGAGAAGCCGGTGCCACCGCAGAGGGAAATGGAAGATTAGGAGAAAGGTGGGAAGGAGGATCAGAGCCTCCTGACGTTCCCTCAGAAAGTAGAGCCGGCTTAAACGTATAAGAAAAAGGAGAATTGTGTTATAAAACCAGCTGTGAAGGATGTAAAATGCTCAATAAGGAGTCACGTAACTAACCTGAACAGTTACAAATGGGATGCTAATTTTATTATTAGTCAGTCTACTTTTCTGGAAGAAAGTTCTTCCCTCAGAAATCAAAACCAGTTGCCATTTAGGGCCGTGGATTTAATTTCTATTCTTACTATTTTTTCCTGTGTTAAGTTAAGTAAGGGTAGAGGCAGCCTGCACAATCTTTCTAATTAACTAGTTTTACATTTGGCCTAAAACATATTGTCCTGAGTGTCTGATTTACATGTTGGCATGTGCCAGCCAAAGCCACTGCCTCAACAGTCTGTTGAAGTAAGTCCTGGACAGACAAAATCTGTTCAAAAACTGTGCTGAGAACCCACACAAACGTGTAGCGAGACTGTGGTGCTTAACGGGAAGCGGACATTTGGGATGGTCCAGCATTCTTCTGTCCCAAAGAGGAACTGGGGAGGGCTTTAGGGGGAAGCACTTGTTTAACTGCCAAACATGATCTGATCTGTTATTATTAGCCACATTCTCGTTAACAGGGTCTGCTATAAATACACCAGGCAGGGAAGTGGCACATGTGAAGCACAACTGCTGAGTCCCTGCAGGAGGGACGTCCCTCCCTCTGAGGCTCCTTGGGGCCTCTGGCTCTACAATGTAATGGGCCAGTGAGGAAAATGGCTTACTAGCCTTCTGCATCAGAAGCAGCTAACAAGGACAGAAGGGAAAGGACCACAGAATTTACAGTGGTGTCCACAGCTGCTGCTGAGAAGGGACTATCCCCTGACACTGACAGTTTTTATCCAATGCAATAGTATAAAACTCTGCCTGTGCCTAACACAAACATGTAAATACAAGAAAAGGTGGAGAATTATCTGGGGTAAGCTGTCTGAACACAGAAGCCAGTTTTTTTTCAGAAATTAAAATACCTTATCAATATTTGGTGAAGTGTATCCTTCAAAACATACCACGGGGTCTCCTCCACTCGCTACTGGGAATTCTAAATTGTCATATCCCACATCCTCCTCTATATAGAGTCTTGGCAGTTCTTCTGTTGTGTCTTCTGCTCCTCCGCAGAAATCTGATTCTTGAGGCTTTGACTGATCCCCTGTATTAACTGACAGGTCTGCAGGACAGATTTCCTCATCATTTTCAGCAGTTGTGGCTACCACTCTGGAGACGGGGCCACCTTCATGTGGCGAAGGGATGTCACTGATAAGGCCAACCTGTTCACCTTCTTCTGTAGCATCGGACACGTCTTGAGGTACTTCAATAACCAAAGAGTCAAGTATAGCTCTCAAGTCTTTATCTGTTCCTGGTTTGGTATTGTTACTGGTGTGCTCATACACCGTGTCATGAGATGAGCTGGGTGAAGGTGAGACAGAGGTAGGTACAAGAAAGGACAGAGGAAGAGCTGTAGGAGAGCTGAGAGACACCTCTGTATCACCCTTAACTCGTTCAGTGCTATTACCTGGGGAGATCGCTACAGATGGGGATGTTGTTAGTGCCAAAGAATTGAGTTCCTCTAAGTCACAAAGGAAACTGTCTGGAAATGGTGGAGGAGGTGAGATGCACGCGCTTGAAGGTGAAGAGCCAACAGTCCTTGAAAATGCATCACTAGTGGCAGCCTGGAGAAGCTTTTGATCAATGTGAGACCAAGAGGAGGAGGAAAGGTGTCTGGGAAGCAGGGACGGTGCTTGGGAAGGTAACTTCAAAAATAAGAACAACATGGGAATTTAAATAAATAAATAACTAAATCATGAGAGAGAACTAGGATATGAGTAGTCTGGAAAACGCCTGTGCCATCACCTGGCTTACAGGGTGTCATTTCAGTGAGCAGGGTGTCTGAAATCATTACTACATGAATCAGAGTGGCAGGAAAGACATTTGGAAAATGAAACCGCATCAGGTGCTGGCTCCCGGCTTAAATGTCAAACATGAAGACAGATCTGAATCATCGCGTCCATGAAGGAGACCTGCACTTGATCTCCTAAAGGTATGTCACCTATGGCACTCTGTCAGGGAGCCTGTCACAGCTTATTAAATCATACAATTAATATTAATGTAATCTTCCCCGAACCCTTACTGTTATTTTGAGAGCAGCATTTTCAGAAGTACACTTGAGGTGTCATTACGTATTTCTTTTAAACTAGAACAACTCTTACTGTTAATGCTTCTACTTTTTCCCAGTCCTCCTGTTTCAGAAACATCTTTAATACATTGCATACTTTTATTAAGGCGTGAGCAGCTACAGAATGCATTTTTCTTCAAAAGTAACCCTATTAGTTCAAACCGACAGCGACATTTGCGAAAGGTCGGAGTCAACAAGGCTTTTGAGAACACTGAGAGCACAGCACACAGCGGTATATTTTGAGTACCGTTACACAATATTGATTGAAGTATCCTTCTGGTAAAAGAAACGTCCTTTTGTAAGAATGAGGGACTGGGGAGTCATACGTACACAGCATCAGTAGATATCCATTGCTTCAGTAAATACTGAAAATGCATTTTTGTTACTATGAATCCTCAAAAATTAAAACGGAATGAAAAATATTTTGATCTCATTGCTAGAATTATCCAGAATAATTAGATGTACATCTCTTTAAGTTATCTGGACAACTTTTAGACTTTTAAGTATTGCTCTGGAACAGGAAAATAATTTCAAAAGGCTAAATTAATGTCGTGGAATAGGAAGGTTCATCTACTTACCTGCTGTTTGAATCCTCTTGAGGCAAATAACTGGATGTTAGAGTTAGACAAACCTTTGCTACAGAGTCTTCTCAAGAATATAGACTGATACAATGAAGTCTGACAGAACAGAGCCAGGCTGTTATAGGCAACACTCAAACAATCTCTTTCCCTCATCTTTCCTCTTGAACCAGGGACTACAACCTGTGGCTTTAAGGATAATAATACTGCTGAGGAGATATTGCTGTTTCTGGTGGCTACAGGGTGCACTAGAGCTGAAGATATAGATGGTGTAGGCCAAGTTAAGGAGAGTAAATCTTGCTCCTGACTTGTATTCCTTATTTAGTTCTATTGCCAGCAGGCCAGAGACATTTAGTGCAATTGCTCTGTCAACAGGGAGTGATCCATGCCAAAAAACTCCAAAGGAAGAGGAGAAGCAGCATCAGTAATTGTGGGTAAACTCTGGAACAGCTTCAGGACTGCTGAAGTCCTTCTAGGTAGTCAGGAACAAGATGTCTTCTTACCTGGTGCTGCCATTTCTGAGTGCAGTTTAATTCCAAACCAAGATATCTGTTTAAGTGTGTCAGTATAGACTTGTCTTTTTTTTTGTTTAAACTTTGCAAAACTGTCCTGTCACTATTACTTATCTGCACATAGATGCTCTGAAGCATCCCCTGTGCTCAACAAGGGGCTATAGAGGTTATAAAAACACCAGCTTTAGCTGCAGGATGCCTTAGAGACCAGCCTGCCCCATAGAAAATGGGGAGAGGCATCTCCAAAAACAGAGACAGCTCCGTCACATGGAACACAAAAGTTGCCTCATACTCTTTATTTGCCTTCAGGAACCTCTGCATTCCTGTAACAATAAGGTGTCCTCTCTATGAACACCTCTGTCTGCAGCAACAGGATTTGATGCTACTTCAATCTACAGTTTATAGTTGGAACAGAAGAGAGAGGAGATAGTTCTCTCTTGTGACACCTTCTGGAAGACCAGACAAGACCTGTTCTAGCAGCTCTCCAAAACCAGATAATACTCTTCAGTCATAAGGAATATTTTCTGAGGCTACTGTTGTCTATAACTGACATCTTTTGGTAGCTGTCCCCAAAAGCTGCCAATAAATGTGGAAACTCTCTCAAACCTGAAGCATCTAAATGAGCACGAGTCTGTAAGTATATGACAGCAGAAAAGGGGGCAAACCCAAGTGGCACAAATAGAGATCTATAGGGGGATAAGAAGTTTCTAATTACACACCAAACCTGCTGCCCACGCCAAAGAGAGAAACAAAGAAGGTAAAGAGGAAGATTTAGAAGTTTCCAACTTGAGCGTTCAAAGCCATCAATAATTCATTAATGCTAATCACAGTCTGCACACAGAAACTTCCTTAGTTTCTGTCACCACCAAAGGGGTTACTTTTCCCGCACGGGTGACAGGGAAATCTCAGCAGTGAATGATAAATTGGAACACAGGACTCTTTTTGTAGCATCATGTAGTATGACTTGAGGTGGTTACATAGACTGGGAAGGGAAAGACTTCAGAACCTACAACGAACAACTGGTGTGAAAAACTCCAACTATAAAGGTCCGGATCCAAAAACTCCAACTATAAAGGTCTGGATCCAAGCTTGCTGACAACGTGGTGGTGTTTCCCTCACTACTAAATTCAACAAGAAAGTCACTGTGATCATACCCTTCCAAAGAACCTCAGTTGTACCAACAGCCTCCTTCCAGCGTGTGGATGGCAGAAGGAGGAAGGTTATAGCACAGAATTTTTAGCTGTTCTCCTTAAATTTGAGAGGCACAGAACTGATCTGGGTGAGCTGTGTCCCCACACAAACTGCCCTCTCTTGCCCTCTGGGTGCTTGTGGGACCGCAGGCTTTTGGGACAGCTGTGGGATGGGGATGTCTTCCCACTGCGCTATGAAGTCTGCAAGACATACCCTTCATGCTCAAATTCCAAGATTCTCACATTAATTTTGTTTTGTCAGCTTGATTTCTCTGCCCAAAGTTTGCCTGGCCCTACCCTCACCAACGTAATAGCTCATGAAGAATAGAGCACAAATGTAAGACACACACTTGGCTATTAAAATACTTTAAAAACAAGTTAGCAGCACAATTCTACCCGGGAAAGAAAATGTAGTGCACCTAAGGCATAATTTAAGTATTATCTTACATTAACAAAAAAATTACAAGTCCTTCTAAACCCATTGTAGGGGTAACAGCAAAGAAGAAAAATTCCTTACCTTAGTTGAACTTAACTGGTGTATTCTGTCACTAGAATAGCTTTGGGGTATGGGAGGATCGGGGTAGTCATCAACACTTTTTGATGCATTCTTTTTGATGACTTCTACGTAGGAAACAGGGAAGATGCCTTGTCTGTTGGTTCCTGGTATTTTACCTTCATACCAGTTTTGATCAACTCGCTTCAGAAGGATTACTTTGTCTCCCTGAAATGCATCATGAAAAGGAGTTAGCAGCAGATACACTGCAAGTGCATTTTCTGAATCGCAGAAATTATTTTAACACAGTATTATTTTCCCCGTAGCAGTGCTTCCCATTAATCTTGAGAATCTTCTCAATTTTCACATTTCTCTTCCCATTTTAAAAAGAAATAAATCATCAAACTACCTCCCGGCCCTAGTTCTATAAGTTCCTATTTTAGACCTCTTTGATGTTTACCAATCTCAGATAAGTGGAAAAGCACCCATTATCTTCAGTGATGCCGGATTAGGCTCTAGGTCAGAACCAAAAAAATAGCCTTACTCTTACTTCAAAAGAAAAACAAACCACTGAATAACTTCTGTGAACTCTAATTCTTTAAAAAAAAAAGTAAGAGGCATTACTTTCCAGGGGATAAAAAATATATACTACTTGTAACTAACTATATAATTCCTCCAATAATAATGTTCCTCCACAGCAGTAATATTCCAGTGACTCACAAACCTCAGAAATTAAAGATTTATTTTGCTCATGGGCAATGAAGCATAACCACCAGGATGTGCATAGAAAAAAATAAGAGAATATTATAAAAAGTGGATTGTTATTAAATGAAACATGCAAGAACTGGTACATTCACAAAAATCTCTCTGAGCTTTTTTTCTCCATATTTTCTATTTTCTGTATTCTTCTATTTCTTCTATATTAACACCCTTACCACGATAATTGTGACATCAAGAAATAATTGTTTAAAAAAGGAATGTTGAAGTGAAAAACTAGAAATTTAGATGGGCAGTTAGCCATTTGCATATGCTAATCTGCCACAATCCAGTTTGCATGTACTCTGTATTAAACTTGCAGGCAGCTGTGAAAGACTGGAAGCCAATAAGCCATTATCTGAGTAGTTCCCTCCCATTACACTGCTTTGTGCGTAGTAAATACTGACTGCAGAGTGCCCCAAAGCACAGTATTTACCTATATATTAATTCTATGTGCCAGTGGATGCTATAATGGTATTTTGATAAAGAGACTGTACCTTTCTCAGCGACAACTCCACGTTTGTGTCTGCACTGAAATTGTATTTGGCAACAGCTTCTCCAATCTCTCCGATCTGCGCGGGGGGAGGTGGCCTGGCAGGCTGTGCTTTTTCTGGGGGAGAAAGTTTCTAAGGAAAAAGGAAAAAAAAAAAACCCAAATCCTTAGATATTCATCATTCCTGTGCGTTTGTGGACCTATTACCCAAACTAATTCAAGAAATTAAAACAGAGAACAAACCTCGACATAAGAAATGGGGAATATTCCAACTCTTCCGTGGTGCTCACCCTCATACCAGTTTTGATCGATTTTCCTGAGGATATAGACAGTATCTCCTTTCTTAAAGGACAGCTCCCTGTAACAAATTCATTTAGATCAGATGTTTACAGCTTTACACTGAGCTCTTCTAATGGCAAAGTTTCTGAGATCTCTACAGTTCGGGACTGAAACAGAATGTAGCAACCACAGATTTGAAGGAGAAGTGTTACAGCTGGGATACATTTACGAGTTGATTATACCATAAAAAATGAAATTATTCACATTTATAAATCCCAAATACTACCTGTAAATTAAATAGGCCTATTTTACACTATGATTGCAAGGAAGCATTGCTAGATATTACCAGAGCACTTGGTACAGAGTATGTAGACAAGTATGATGGCTGTTGGATCACCTGTTTAGATGATGCTTTTAGAACAGGCCTCTGAGGGGTATTTGGTGTTCTTTAGGAAATCAGTAGGGAAAAACTATAGTCTAGGACCTATTGCTACCTTTGTGCAGCAGCACAGCTTGGTGTGTTTCTTCTCTATGCAATTTTTTTTCAAGACATCTGTTCAGAAGTATAAAACCCACAGGATTATATTTTCACCATTTCTAATACTCAGGGCCTGTGACACGCTCAATGTTGAATACCAAAAAAGGGATTTATCCACATCACAGAATCATAGAATAGTTTGGGTTGGAAGGGACCTTTAAAGGCCATCTAGTCCAACTCCCTGCCATGAGCAGGAACATCTTCAACTAGACCAGGTTGCTCAGAGCCCTGTGCAACCTGACCTTGAGTGTTTCCAGGGATGGGGCATCCACCACCTCTCTGGGCAACCTGGGCCTGGGTTTCACCACCCTCAGCATAAAAATAAAAATAAAAATAAATTAAAAAAAAAAAATCTTTCTTATAGCTAGTCTAAATCTTCATTCTTTCTGTTTGAAGCCATCAGCCCTTGTCCTATTACAACAGGCCCTGCTAAAAAGTTTGTCCCCATCTTTCCTGTAGGCCCCCTTTAAGTACTGAAAGGCTGCAATAAGGTCTCCCTGGAGCCTTCTGTTCTCCAGGCTGAGAAAAGAATAACCCCAAGTCTCTCAGCCTGTCCTCGCAGGAGAGGTTGAACCTCATGAGGTTCACACAGGCCTGCTTCTTGAGCCTTTCTAGGTCCCTCTGGATGGCATCCCATCCCTGAGGCGTGTCAAATCATTAAGAACATTTTCAGATCCTAGCCTGGGAGCATCCATACATTTTGTTATTCAAGAGCTAATCTGCTGTTCTGATACATCAAGTTGTGAGTTTTCTACTGGATCCAGCTAATGTAATTCTAGTGTCAATGTTTGGCAACATCTAAAGATGGTTTAAATACAGGTACTCTATTTTGACTCTCTCACGTCCTAAACTGGTGTTTCCTGATTTTGGTTTTGTTTTTTTTATGGTCCACTGTGGTTTGTGTTGGTATGGGACATGTCCCATCCTGCAGAGAGCCTGTGTATGTTAAGATGGACAGGAAGATATGGAAGGGTTATACAGAAGTTTGATAAGCACGCGATAAGCACCTTACCTTGTCTAACCTAAATACACAACAAGCAAAGAGCATTCTGTGGGTGACCCCCAGGACCTGTGCTCTAGAAGGCTGAAGATGCACAGCCATTCATGTGTTCACCCAAATGCAAGGAAGAATATAATAAATTAAGACATTTTTCTTACAAAATAACTTCCCACACAGTTTGCTAACACACAGACTACCATGACAGCAAGCAGGGTCCTCTGCTTCAGAAACTGGCTCGGAGAGCAGTTAGCTGCCACAGGTGCTAGAAAGAGCTTTCTTGAATTATGAATTCTTAAATGAACAGAAGTCTGGTACTTACTTAGCAGTCTGAGCTTTAAAGTCATATACAGCTCTAGCTGGCAGTTTCTGAAAAACAGGCAAAGTGATTAATGCATTCAGGTAGTGTTACTACACCGTACACGTGTTTCAGCTTTTAGAAAGGTGACCAGGAGCCAAAAAAGAAAAGGACCCTGTGCCTTACAGTTGTTCTTGCAGTAATAGGCAATTAAACACACAGCTTCCTTTTTTAAGGCAGTAAGATGTTTGGGAGTGTTTAAAAAATAGAAATAGCAGCTAAATTTTAATAGAGACCAGGTTGCACTTGTGTGTTTAAGAGAACTACAAAAGTAAAAAAAAGAAAAAGTTAACTAAATTCCAATTTAACTTGCAGGCAACTAGATCTCTAGATACAATGGAAATTCATGTGCTTAATATTCTCTAATACTTTAGATGCTTTTCTTAAATTTGTTATCTTTAGGCTAATTTCACCTGCAAATACTGCATCACATTTTATATATGCATAAATAAACAAAAAATTACTCTGAGAGCTGGAATAGGTTGGGAGTATTTTAAAATACCTGCAATCACGTCCATAGTTTTAAGAAAGTCTGAGCAACACGGGACTGGAAGTGACCTCCTGAGCCATCTGTGCAGCTCTCTTGCTATCACAGGCAATCACATCATTCCTTTCATGTATTTATCTAAAGTTCTATCACTGAGCTCAGGATCTACCTGTAAGCTCAGGATTGTTTCAAAAATAGAACTGTAGATCATCCCTACCTCTCCTCACCCGTGCGGGGGACACCTGTACCTTCACTGTTTGCAAACCTGTGCTGAAAACAGGAACTGTGATCTGACCCACGAGCCTCACTCATGTAATGTCTGCCTCGGATGGAAAACCAGGGGTAAACACTTTGGAGGAAGGTGCAAGAAGTGACGAGCAGTATGGTGTGAGGAGATCTGGCAAAGCCATTTAGTCTTTCTCTGCAAGTACTTGTGCAGATGAGATTGCTGCATCTTTAAAAATCTCTCTCTAGGATGTACTGGTGATGAGAATGAGCCCATTAGGCTATTTCTGAGAGATGCTGTTTGTGATGAGGGCAGGGTGCACATCTTTGTATTAGAGGGATAAGAAGGGACACTTACAACTTCTGCATTTTAGTTTTCTTCCAGGCCAGATGTTCTCAACTGGGTTCTCTCCCTTCCTGTCACCGAAAGCCTGGCAAATTTAGCTTATCTACAACACTGTCTTTGCTGTAACAAAAAAGTCTCCAAAGTCATTACAAGGATTCTGTCAACTTGCACTTTGCAATACTAATACAATTTTCCATTACAGGTCTTGAAATACCATGGCCTAAATAAAAAAGCATTTTTGTGTCCTCTGCTGCTGTTAAAAATAGCGTTTTAGACAGGAGGGGATATTCATGTTATCGACTGCAGCTATGCCCTTTTCACTCCTTCCTGCCTTTGGTACAGCTGGTGCTGTAACTGCTAAAGCAAACAATGGAAGAAGGGGGATAATATTAAAAGAACAGTAGAGCTCATTAAAAACAAAATACTTTGAAACGTACAAAACATCCTGGAACCAGAGAGAAATCATCTTTTTAAATTACAGCAATCTTAAGACTGGCTTGCAGTGTTAAGAATTTTATGTATTTTCAGACTGAACGATGACTTTCAATGTCACAGAATCCTTTAAAAGGAGCACACAATATGGCTCCTGGAAGTTTTTTTACCCTTTATTCTGCAGAGTCTTCATCAAATCCCAGCAATATAACCACGCCAGGGGGGTGTGAGGGGATCTGAATTGAGATCTCTAACCAGTTCTAACCTCTACCACCATTTCACACGGTAGATGGCCCAAAAACTTAACTATTAGCAATTAAAATAGGGTACTCTCTTATGCTGCCATTATTTAGTGCCATATTTTAATAAAAATCAATGGAAAATGTTAACAATCTATGGTCTGTAGTTGTTGGTTAATATAAATGTACTTACTTCATGATTGAAGAGATTCCCTGAAGCCTGTTTGGAGAGAATTTATAGTTCTAGATCTAGAAATATTCTTAAGATACTGAACGTTATAATCAGGGTTTTTTTGTTTACTCTTTTTAGTGGTACTTTGTGTCACTTTAAAGGTTGTGTGTCTGCTCCCATTTCCTCTCCCAAAGCAGGAATACAGGCTATCAGCATATACTTACAGTCACCTACTGTTACAGGAATTAGAGATCAGCATTAGGATAAGTGGTCTAACACAAAAACAGCAGTGTTTTTGCTTTTTCTAAACAAAAATATTGGTGAAATACAGATGTTCTTTTTATCAGTTTTGAAACGACTGAGGCAGTTTCTTTGTGTAATGCTCAGGTTCTCAGAAGAACCTTTCCCTGGTCACATCTTCTCTGTCCCAAACACCTGCTCTGGCCAACTTTGACAGACCCCATCAATGACCAGTAAGCTTATGTCCACATCTATTTAAACATAAATAGAAGATGTAGCTTATCTTACAAAGCATGAAATTCTTTTAATTTCTTGTACTAATCTCCTTACTGAAAAAGAAGGATGCTGTCCCATCTGATGATACGATGATAAATCACCATTCCTTTGGTCTGTATCATTACAGCATCTTAAAACCAACATAAAACTTGTCTCAGATTTGTTACCAATTTTCCACATGGATATTGCTGCATAATATTGTTGTTTCACTACCTCTTTGTCTGTAGTTCCTCTTCTCTCCCTTGGAGTACATCGTCCCACATCAGTGAAAGCAGAAGAATAGCTTCCAGGAGACTCCTGGTCTACTGAAAACAGAAATTATGTGAAACTATGGCAAATTAAACAAACCCATTCAAATCTGCGATGCTGCTGTTTGGTTTCACTTAGGGGGATGAAGAGGTATTGAGATTTATAATTTTACTTTTAATAGAAAGAAAAGCACATGATATGATGAGTGCAGCTTTAAAGAAGCACCTTTAAAGGAAAAGAAGATACTCTCAAGCAAAGGCAAAGGCCGTCCTCTGATCCACAGCAGCAGAATAAATGATAAAGGATCGAGAGAGCAAATTGTGCCTCGCTGAACGAAGGGGCACAGCCCTACTGGCCCAAATGGAAGAGGTGGCAGCGGTACCGGGACTTCTTCAGGTTGGAAGGAACTGTTTTGGGATGCCAACGATAGAAACACGTAATTACATGCACAAACCATGGCTGAAGCATGCTTCAATGAGAAAATAAGGAACAAAAATTGTTTCCTCCTAAATGATCTAAGATGCGTTTCTACTTTACCACGGGCACTTGTTAGGCAGCACAAGGGAATTTAAAAGGATGTTATTTCATAAAAACAACTGTGTTTTAAGAGATGGAGCACAAATCGTTACTCACCAATCTATGTGGCAGATTTTCTCTAAAGCAGGGTTTAGCAGTGTTTGTAACAGGCTGGTGTGTTACAGGCTGGAGGATACATCTTTTCATGTTTTAATAAAAACAAAATCCAAATGTTACACTCTCTACTGCTCTGCAAGTTGCCAATGGGAAATGAAAATATAATGGGATCATTTTGGAGCAGAGGATGATCTGAACTGCCTCTTGACTTCTGAGATGTACTGTTTTAGTCTCCTACTGCCACAGTGGTACCTGCCACTGGGGACATACGGCTGATGCGTGTCTTCCTTTGACTTCCTTCACACAATCTGTTCTTACCAAGCCCCTACATTTCTAAAGAAGTACAACTTGAAAAAAAGCTGTAAACAGTCCCCAGTGGGCTGTTGGCTAAACTTGAGGCTTGATAAATACAGCGGGTGCAAGAAATGATATAATTATATTATTTATGTCTTTGGTTGCAAACATGGCATCCCCAGCAAGTGCATCCTAGTCCCAGTTCTGGACAGCTTTCTTGATAGGGCTTGTTTGTATGAACGAGGATCTATGCTCTCACTGCATAATATGCACGGAAGATATAATGCCTCCAAAGACATCTATGTATTTTTTCTTTAAACTCCAACAGAAAGAGAAAAACGGGAAGGAAGGAGTGAAAACAGCAGCTTTAGGAAGAACCACTTCCGTTATTTCTACGTGGGCTTGTTTGTATGAACGAGGATCTATGCTCTCACTGCATAATATGCACGGAAGATATAATGCCTCCAAACACATCTAGCAGAAAGAGAAAAACGGGAAGGAAGGAGTGAAAACAGCAGCTTTAGGAAGAACCACTTCCGTTATTTCTACGTAGCTCCTTACGCACTCAATGTTGGTAGCTTTCAGGGGCCTCAGCAATGAGCTTGGGGTCTGTGTGATTGTAAGAGAGACACCCAGAGCCAACAAAACATCAAACTCCATTAGAATCAGAGCTCAGCCGTGACTGGTGCTGATGGAATGGCATATTCTGCTGTACTAATTGTCCAGGCTACTTCAGGGATATTAACGTTGACAGAGCAGACCACCTCCCTCCCGCCAGGCTCCGTCGTAGCAACTGTAAGAGAGACACCCAGAGCCAACAAAACATCAAACTCCATTAGAATCAGAGCTCAGCCGTGACTGGTGCTGATGGAATGGCATATTCTGCTGTACTAATTGTCCAGGCTACTTCAGGGATATTAACGTTGACAGAGCAGACCACCTCCCTCCCGCCAGGCTCCGTCGTAGCAGCAGAAGCTCTTATGGACCCACGGTCACTCTGCACCCTGGATTGCCTTATTTTCAAGCCCTGGAAAATTCTCAGTTAGCAACTGTGATACATGACCAGAGCTATTTCCAACAGCTTCAGTCTCATTGTGTAGAGCTGCCTGCCAGAATTAATCATGATCAGGCCTCAAGTATGACTAATTGAATTCTGAACTGCATTTAATAGCTGTTTTTTTTACCAAATTCTCCGTTCTCAAAGCCTGTTTTAACTAGTTGAGATTGTAACAGCTTCAATTCTGATGTAGTGCCGAGGGACATGGTTTAGTGGTAACTTGGCAGTTTTAGGTTACCGGTTGGACTTGATAATCTTAAAGGTCTTTTCCAATCAAAATGATTCTATGATTCTTGAAATACGTATTTACTGGTGTGGTACTTGCAAAAGTTACAGGAAAAAATGCGAGGTTAAAGAGAAGTAAGAGGAGTCTGATCAAATATGGCATAATTGATATATTGCGGACACTTTTACATCCCTTTGTGATTTCAATACCTGCCTTGCAATGTCATTCAACTCTCAAAGATGCTCTGCCAGAGGACTGAATGTCTAGAAGCTGAACTCTTTAACACAGAAGTGTTACCAGTTAAAAAGTGAAATAAATGACAGGCTTGCCAAAGACATTCATCTAAATCATCTGGGATGCACCTTTGTACACTCCTGCGATGAATCTAGTTTGTTTCTTCTAATATTGCAAGGTTAAACTTTAAAAATATTTTAAGCTCAAGCAACTTTTTTTGAGAAAAAGAGAAGCAGAGCAATGAACAACTCAAAGTAGTAACTTTAAAACCAGATCACTGTCAAGACAGACTTTTAAAAAAGTCATAGTCACCCCGACAGTATCATTCAAGTTTTGATTATTGAGAATTTTCCTTTTAAAAGGATAGGATATTTCACAAGACTTCATATATATATATATATTATATATATATAAAATTCTATGAGAAAAACTAGTTTTGTTGCCACAGAAATTGGAAATTGTATTGTTTGAATGGTGGAAATGGAAACTTCCTAAAATGACCTTCGGGTCTATTCACAAAAAGTAATACCAAGCAGTGGAAATAGTGTATTTTCATAAGAAAACAGAATCAATTTTCTATAATACTGTCATAATTAACAGCATTTTTATCACTTACATGTAACAAAACTATACAGTACATCTGTATTTTTTTAGATGCAGATAATTTTTTCAAAATAATAAAGAAGAGCTGTCTGCATATGGTTTTCTGTTTGACCAGCATCTTGAGGCTTAAATTCACCATCTGCAAGGTCTTTTCTTGGAGGAAAAAACCCCACATTGCTTAATTTAAGAACACTATTGTAATTTATAGTGCTAATAATCTATTAGTTGAAATACACCGTTACTCCAGTTGTCCAGATTACTGTGTTTTGTGAATAGACAACAAATTTCTCTATCCTTATCCCCTATGCAAAAATGACACCCTTCCTTAAGAACTTGGTGGGATGAAAGCTGCTTAGAGACGACACAAATAAACACGGAATGAGAAAAGGGTGGGAAATAGAGGGAGTAGAGGTTGGAGAAGTAAATCACAAGGAGAGAGGAAGAAAGTTAATCCACCTGGGAAACACAGTGCACTATCATTGTTGTTGGTGGCGTCCATGTCAGGGAAAGAGGCACTAAGAGGCAATCTGCCACAATCGTTCTGGTACGGCGGGCAAGGGATAGCACCATCGGGGGGCAGTGGGTGAAAAGGCTGGTGCAGGGGACTCTTCTTCAGAGCTCGGAGAGATGAATTCCGTTCTGGAATGTCTGGAAGCAGCTCGGTAATAAGTCTGTGTAATATACTGTTGTCGGGTAAGCTTCCCCGCCTTTTCTCAGCTTTAATTTGGTCACAGATGTCTTTGAGCGCAGAATCTAACGCTTCGAATACGGACGACTTGGATTTTTTCTTTTCAGTTTGTTTTTTAGGAGCTGCGCTTTTTTTCCTGCGGAAAGGCACTGGGCTGACTAGGAATGCTATCTTAGAGAGGCCGGACTCCGCTTCCTGTCTCCTGGGATCCTCGGTGGGTTCTTGTTTAGCCCTTTCGTGTTTGAGCATGGTGGTGAAGCGCGTGTAGGACGCCGGGCATCGCCCTTTGCAGGAGCTGATGAGATGCCGGTGGTGGTGGTGGTGGTGGTGGTGATGGTGATGGCCCGATCCGTAAAAGCTTTCGGATGACGTGAAGGAGAAGTGGTCAAAGTCACTTTCACTACAAAAGGATGAACCCTCTATCTGGATAAAGTCACTGAGGTCGGAAACCACTCCATCTTGATCGCTGTCGGAAAAATCGATGTGCGATCGCTGTGGCTCATCACTGGTCACTTCAATATGGATTGGCACCAGGGTTTTAGACTTGTAGCTCCGTTGTACCTGAGAGGGATGTCTGCCTTGATTTTCTTCTTCCAGCAAGGATTCGATAGAAAACCGCCTCTTTGGACACAAGCCGTTTTTCGGAGGCTCTAGTGTAACGGTTGACAACATTTCATCACCAAGGTTCGGCATTGATTTCGACTTCTGAATTAATTTTTCAAATTCTGATATTCTGGTTGGTACCATGTCTCTGGGCACCTCTTCAGTAGAAGACTCTCTCCAGCCTTGAAGGATACCTTTGTGCTGTTCTCTTTCGTACTGCAGGATCCTGGACTTCACCGAACAAATCACCTCCGAACTCATCAAGTCCTTGCGGTTGATGCGGTGCATCTTTTTGTACATTTTCAGGAAACCTGGGGCATCGTGTGCAGATCTGTGACGAACTCTTGACCTAGTGCTACCACGGCCCTCAGGAACATACGGGGAGGCCCAGTTCATGGAGCAAACCTCTTTGGCATCCTCCTCACATAAGAGAGAGCCCATGCTTTCAGACTTGGCCTGCGCGTCGGGGAAGCCGTCGCGGTCGTCTGTCAACAGATCATCACAGCTACGAGATTTTCTCTTTGGAGAAGCATTTTCTTCTGTGCTGCTCCAGACTTCTGCATTCTGACGAGTCATTTGCCAGCCGTTCTTGTAGTTGGTGGCCCTTCTGGAATCGTTTGGAACAGCTAAATGTTGTCTGTAAGTGCTACAGTAATCTAATTCGTTTGAGGTGTTGTGGTTGTGCACTGAATAACTTAAAAGGGATGGATACACTTTGCTAATATCCCCACCTTTATAATCCACAGAGCAGCATGGTAAAAAAGAGACATTGCCAGAAATTAAAAGATACAGAAAGTTGGAATTAACATCAGTAGTAACAGAAAGATTAGAAAAGAGACAGCAATTAATGCATCTAGCAGCACAGGTCAGTGCGTAGGTTGCTACAGCCTGGGGCAGCAGAGCTAATAATTAAGTTATTTTCCAGCTGTAAAAATGTACTCGTGACAATTTGACCATCAAAAAGAATTCCTTATGAATTATGGAGACATCACCCCCTCCGCAGCCCACCCCACCAAAGCAGTGTAAGAAAACAAGGATTGATATTGATTTTGAAGCAGATCAACAGACAATAAAAGCTGCAAAGAATTTGAAGATGAAGCCAAACGGCAAACCTAAACATCAGCCAAATATTGACTTTTCCACCTGTGCATTCTGGAAGAAACCGTTCAGAATTTTTGAGCTGAATGATGCTCAGAGAGTTCACAGCAACTGCATATTCTAACATAATTAAAGAAAAATCTTTATATAAGGTCAAATGGGAAATTTCTCCCAGTCGTTGACGTGGCAGAGGTACCTCGCTCTTTCCCTGCGTGATAGCCCTGAAGGGAGTGGTGCTGTCTGTGGCTTATGGAGGGCAGAACAAGGGGGCTGAGAAACTGCTACATGGGTTTAAAGGAAAACCTATCAGTTGTCTCAGCCTAACCAGCACGTAGAAGAAACAAGCTGACATCCAAAGCTTGGCTTCCATAACAAAGCCTGAGATTTCAAGCAAGTTTTAAGACATACTTTTATATGCGTGCCTACCCAAAGCTTGGCTTCCATAACAAAGCCTGAGATTTCAAGCAAGTTTTAAGACATACTTTTACGCGCGTGCCAGGTCTAGAAGTCACTGTGAGACACATCTGGAACTTTGGTCTCTCATACTTGCACTGAACTTTCAAAAATGGTCTCAAGTGGCAACATTCAGTTCAGGGGACACGTTTCAAACAGCTCAATCTGCTTTCTAGAAGTATAGCTTGATTCTGGATCACAAACTGAAACACTTGAGTTCAAAATCCATGCTGAGCAAAGAGCTTATAATGTGCTGCTTCTTTAACAGAGTGGTTAATTTCAATAAAAAGTACCTTGCTAGTAGGTTTCATAATGCTGGGAGAGAACAGAGTGACACAGCTAGGTCACCTTCCAAAAGTTAATTAGCCAATTAGTGGTAGATGTTCTTAAGGGAAGGATTGTCAAACACAGGGAGTGTTTAAGTCAGGGGAAGTGATTGTTATCAGTGGGGTAGTCAAAGGGAAATGCAGAAAAATGAATTTACCAACTTTTTTTTACCAACTTTTCAGTGCCTGGCCTGGTACACCAAATGGGTGAGTTTACCCGCTTTTTAAATTACCCCGGTCACATTGGGTTTGAAATACATTTGCTTTTCCATCACTTCACTCTTCAGATTCCTCACTGCTTTGCTTTGTACGACGTGTTCTGTTGCAGCCTGGATATTACATTCTTTTCAGTGGGAACTGACTTCCACAAAGGTTTATAGAGTCCCTAATAAAGCTGTAGGCTCATTAGGAAGTATAGCTACAGCATAACCTAAGCAGGAGGAGACGTGCTGTGTACAATATCACTCTGTGTACTAATTCCAGCAGTTGTTTTACTGGAAACCTTTTGTCTTGCTAAAAAAACCTACTGAAAATCCTAAACCCCAACCAACAACTGATTCAGTTATCTCTTTTCTGGAGAGACATGGAGAACAGTCATGGAATGGCAAGTTACTTGGAAAAAGCAGCTAATTAGATTGTATAGGTGGTACTGAATTCTTCCAGGGATTTACAAAATCAAAAATCAGACCATGGATGTTATCTTGATTGAATTAGGTCCCAATAACCGACAGTGTCTAAGACATCAGCTATAGATGTGAACGGTCTACTATTCTGGAAACCCATCTCTGATCTTAAATGCTATTTGTCTTGATTTCCTTTCTATATATATATTGTAAACAGTTTTAAAATCACAATAATCTAATAAGAGAGTAGTGGAGTTAAAACTTCATGGGTTTATATATTGTGGTACAAATCATATTCTTCATTTAGTCAATTTTCTGTTAGAATAAGCAGTTGAAACTGGAAAATCCTTGTTACAAATCCACCTTTTCAGCTTGAAATTACACGTGGAAGAATTAACACATTGAGAAGAAAGGAGGTAGTTGTTCAACAACAAGCTGTTGGAAATCTCCCAGCAAAGTGCACTGAGGACGAAGAAAGGAGGTAGTTGTTCAACAACAAGCTGTTGGAAGTGCACTGAGACCCAGCAGTGAGTTGTGTTTGACACCAAGGCGTTGTACAAAACCCAACGGTCTTCTGCTGACAAATATGTTCTCCTCTTACCTTTTGCTCTGGAGGGGGAAGAAGGAGAGGAGGTGGTTAAAGGCTTCCTAAGGGTGGAATATGGGCCCTGCGTGTCCGGACGGCCCGGGGTGGCTCTGTTGGCGTTGTGGTCGCTGTGTGCCCGCTGGTGGCTGACGGCGGGCTCCGACTTCCTCCGCTTGCGGTAGTCGCTGGCCGTGCTCGCCGAGCTATGGGAAGAGGCAGTTATTAGCAGCACAGACCACAATTCAGCAATTTAAAAAGCAAGCTCATAATTCTGTTAGCAGTTTATAGATTAAGCGATGCCAGAACAAACACATCAAAACACGTTAAAGAGGTGAGGCACTGGTCTGAGACATCTTCCAGCATATTCCACAGAAAAAAGCTGAATTTCTTCTTCACCTGATTCTTTTAAAGTTCTATACAAAATTACTGTGCTATTTTCCCCATGCATTTTGTGAAATAAATGCATCAAAAAAAATTTTTAGACTAATTTTTGGTATCAAGAAGTTGAGCACAAAGATAGGAAAAAGAGAGAGGGAGGGGATGGATGAGGCAGTGAGCTCAAGGGAACAGGACGGAGAGTGCAGCGAGGCTGAAGGACAGACCTCTGCCATGGAGGCAGCAGCTCAGGGATGTTAGTGGGAAGACTGGGAACACGGCAGGGCTTTTTTTGAACATAAACAGGCAGCCCTTGTCAAACAAAAGCAAGGTTTACACTTTGGTATCAAAATATGAACACCCTCTCTCCAGGCATCTCTCTGTTTTCTCAGTAGCTGACAAGGTGCCTGTTAAAATGCGACTCTTTGTGGCATCCGCTGCCTTTGGGTCACACAGAAGACCCTCAGGCTGTACACTCTGTGTCTGCTGAAACCAAATATCACATTTCTTACCTAGAGGGCCTGTCCAGGCCTCTGTCTGTCGAGTAGTGATGATATAAGGAAGTCTGTGAAAACAAATACACAAATCTGTTACGTGTTTGAAAAAAGGGGTGACAATTCCTGCTTATCAGGTTTGATTACGCTTTGCTACTCTGTGAGAAATCCTATGAAAACAGACTATGATTATTAAAATCCTGGGCACTCCAGCACGATATTTCACGAGAATACTTAAGCAGTTTTTAGAAAGCATCTCATGGTTTTATTTCATAATCTATAATAATGTTTTTTACTGTTAAAGCACTACTAAATACTGACCCAAAGTCATGCTTTGCTATCCCCTTTTCAAAAAGAGATACAAAACAGCTGAAATGAACTTTTATCACAAACCATAAAAATCTGAAAATAATTCCCTTCATGCGCAGGTGAGGTCTGCAGAGCTTCTCCTCCCTCCCAATTACTCACCAAAACCCCCCAAATCAGTTATAGCCAGAAACTTTTCTAAATCCCGTAATGTTTGTGGCTGGTTGTTGACCACCTTTTATCCCTGGTACGAGCAGTTCTTATCACAGAACATTAGTTGTTGCTTATGGAGTTACAGAATTAGCTACTTCACAAACCCTGGAAGATAGAATGGAGTATTGCTCCGTAATTTTATTATTACTACGAAGTCAACCTTAAATGACCCCTAAATATAAATCAATAATTTCATACATGTCAAGCCTGCAGTGAGAATGAGGTAATGCTACAATTCTGGGAACTAGGTATGAATCCAGGACAAACTGCGTGGTCCCTGGGGTATTTCTTCACGGGTACAAAGCAGCGTGGTTCAAAGGTTAGACTTTGTTCCAAGTTCCTGGCACACCATCTCAGAGCTAACCCGATGAACTGGAAATAGAACTATCATACAGCTTCATAAGCTGGAGAACTACTTTTCTCTCTATAGAAGCCTTCTAGACTTTTCCTCTGTATGGTACCTTTATGTACCTTTAAAGACTTCTTGGCACAGAAGGACTGCAGACAACCCTGTTTGCCAACGTTACAACCCAATGTTGTTTTCAAAATTTATTGCCTTCCAAATGTTTGCTGAAGTCAAAGAGGAACAAGAGCTGGGCACAAACACCCCTAAGAGGACAGAGCTTACATTCCTGACGCTCGGTCTAACAGACTCCGCCACGGTGTCTGGGCACAAACACCCCTAAGAGGACAGAGCTCACATTCCTAACACTCCGTCTAACAGACTCCGCCACAAATTACAAGTTAAACCAATTAGGATTTGCAAGAACCCAGTTCTGCCATTTGTAATGGTCAGGTTTGTGTCACTGGGGTCTGCAGTGAGCACATCCTTTATGGATTCTTATCCCAGATTTGTAATCTCACTGGAGCAGGGATTCTCCCTCTTATTACTCTGATCCAAACGGGAGCTATGAACACAGAAGTATTTAACAGTGATAACAGCAGCAGTAGTGAGTAGCAACACAGAATATCTGAAAAATAAGAGGACTTATTTTCTCTGGAAAGTAACTTTAAAGCCTTTGAATTATTAACCTCTTTTTACTGTTTACATCTCAGCTGCTCCTCTCACCAAAAGTCCAAAATTTTTCTTTACCTGATTTTTAATATGAGATACATTAAACTACAGTTGCAAATTACGGAGAAAATGAGAATGATCTTTACTCAAGTTTTAAATAACATTTGATCCGTGTTCTGTCATGTTTGTGTGGTTCTCCTCGCCTCACAGTAGAATTAATTTAGAGGACTTATTTTCTCTGGAAAGTAACTTTAAAGCCTTTGAATTATTAACCTCTTTTTACTGTTTACATCTCAGCTGCTCCTCTCACCAAAAGTCCAAAATTTTTCTTTACCTGATTTTTAATATGAGATACATTAAACTACAGTTGCAAATGACAGAGAAAATGAGAATGATCTTTACTCAAGTTTTAAATAACATTTGATCCGTGTTCTGTCATGTTTGTGTGGTTCTCCTCGCCTCACAGTAGAATTAATTTCAGTATAATCCATAAATCAACACTTCAGTCAGTGTCTTGGTGGGATCCCTTGCTACAAGATACAAATCTTAAGTAACGAAGCCTACTGACAAACGAGGTCTACCTACAAGGGCTGGGGTTTGCTGGCTCGGAAAACTGGCCCCAAATTTCACAATCCTGAGGCTTGTCCAGTTCAGTATAATCCATAAATCAACACTTCAGTCAGTGTCTTGGTGGGATCCCTTGCTACAAGATACAAATCTTAAGTAACGAAGCCTACTGACAAACGAGGTCTACCTACAAGGGCTGGGGTTTGCTGGCTCGGAAAACTGGCCCCAAATTTCACAATCCTGAGGCTTGTCCAGATTTATAGAGCTTAAAACCAAACCAGAGTCACTTGCAAACAATTAACACTTTAAGGCCATGATTTGCGTTTAATTTTTGGAGAGACTACAGAAGATGAAAGCGAATCATGAACATGAATGAGGTAAAGCCACCAGAGGAGGTAAAGTCATCACGGGATTCACTGACTTTTGCCCTAACACTCTGAAAATGAGGAGGGAGGGGAGAAGGAATGAGAGGCTGGATCTCTCCCACTCAGAGCAGGGCAGTGACAGCCACTGCCTGATCCTGCTGCTTTTGGTTTGGAGTAATGGCAGGGATCCTCAATCCGGCTGTTATAAACTTACAACAGGATTATTAATTGTTGTATTGCCTGATTAGTTACAAATACTTAATTAGAGAAAGGATAGCTTAGCCACAAAGGCTTTCACTTGACATATCCAACTTGCAGTCAGGTAATTTAATTAAAAAAAAATACTCCTGTGCTGATGTATTGATTGTGTCCGAAAGCAGTGCACTTGCCCAACTCTGAAAAAGTGGGAATTTGTCAAGGAGTTAGAGCCGGGATGGGCTGCTGGGTCATTCTGAGTGTTAATCTCTGAGAAGCTCTGGGGATAAGGACTCACAGTTCCTAGGATAATAAGATCAACATCCAAATGCACTAGTGATCTGGAAAGATACGAAGACAAAGATACAGTGATTATGAATTAGAAAGGCCTCACAGCCATTGGGAGGAAACCACTGAATTTGAACAAACGTCCGACACGAGCGGCGAGCGCTCCAACCCTTCTTCCCAAGAGAACCAACTGAAGGAGAATCATTCATTTACCTCGTTGGAAACGCCAGAAGAACTGTCTCGAACATAGTCCAAAAGCTTTTTAGGTGGCTGCATCATAAAAGCAGAAGTGTAGAGATGGGATGGAGGAGAATCAGTGGCAGCAAGGAATGAAACGTGGAGAAGGTGACACAGTTAGAAACTGAAGTGCCGACAACGTCAGATACAAAGAGTGACACATATATGGGTAGAATGGAAGGAAGAATGTGTTACAGTATTTTTTTTTTAATTACAAGCATCTTAATAAAATATTAGTAAATTTAGGTGGTAAGATTTAAAACTGGAATGCTTGAATCAATACCAGCAGTTTTTAATACTGAGGAGACAGAATAGGATGAAGCAGGACAGTTATGTTCTGCTGGGGAAATCTCAATATACATTATCTTACATAATATACATTATTACTGGAAACTATATTCTCCGGTTATCACTATCTGTTAAATATAGTTGACATCTAGTTCATCAGAAGAGTGTATCTGGACTGTTTCTGCCCACCTGGAGGGAGGAATGACAGAACAGCTGGATGAAAGGAGAGAAAAGGCAATCAGTGAAAATGGGATACATTACAGACGACTGAACAAGAAATTAAACCCAGATATATTGAACTTAAAAAAAATACTTATTTTCAGGTCATATTCAATGGGTACTTTTTTGAAATGTTATGATTAAAAGATTAAAGTTTTAAAAGGATTAATGTGGTTTGCTTTTTCTTCTGCTCTCACTGCAGTAGCTGGGAGTTCTCATTTTGGTTTATGGCCAGCTACAAAAAGGGACTGAGGTACCTGGTTCCCCGAGTGCTTCAAATCCTGATACTCAAGCTCAAATGCCATGTCTGTTTGAGATTTCCCTCAAGCTGCCCAGGATCCTGGAGGAGGACACTTAACCAGACTGAGGGAATGCTTGGGTTATATATATATAAATTATCTCTATCTATCTATCTATCTATAGTATATATCTTCTTTTTCTGAGGGGGTTTGAACTCACATCTTCCACCTGCCTGGAAAGTTACCCATTCTCCTGGGATGAAAAGACTGATTATCCTTTTTCCTAAAGATATTAGAGTGTGCAGGAAAGGATCTGAGCTCCCTGGAGCCAGGGAGGGGGAGTGCAAAAGCAAGAGCAGGTGTGTCTCCAACCTAGTCATTAAGGCAGGGAAGCAGTGGAACACAGTTCTCAGTCTTGCTTTGGGGACAACGATACTGTTTTATCCATTATAAAATACATAAACAGCCTTTGGTGCTCACATCCAGTACAGCCCGTGGGATCTGCAGAAGAATCACGAGTGACCAGGCAACCAAAGGGGAAAAACTGAGCTATCACTGCCATTTAGGTGTTTCAACCAAACGGAGCTTTTCAGATTTATAATTTTAAACACAAATGCCTGCAGTAGGAGTTAAGGTAGCACCTGTTTGCTGATTTTGCTGAGTCCTTTTTCTGGGTTTTTTTTTTTTTGGACCTGGCTATTTATGAAAATCAGAGCAGAACAGAGGTCTGTTTGCTCAAGCAGGTGTCCAGCTTGAAAACAGAGCAAACCTGTATCTCTGTGTTCAGGAGCAACATACACATTCTGCACACATGCATGTAAGAGGAAAAAAAAGGGGGAAAAAAAAAATCTCAGTTTTTATTTTACCATAAGCAATTTGTATATGGCTGCGTGTATTTAAATTTAGACACACTCCTTCAAGTAAAATTCAGGATCCATAACTTAGCATCCCCAACGCAAACTGACATGTTTTCTGTTACTAAAGATTGTTTGAAAACAATCCAGCCAAATGTGAAAGAATTAGGTAGGCTAGTAAACATCCCCACTTAACGTGCAATTTGTCTTGTTCTGAAATATCTACACACCACAATTTTTCTAATACATGGTTGGTATTAAAGCTACTGAAGCCACTACTCTGGC